AGACAGCAAAGTAGTAGCAGATCTGGGAAAAATACCTAGGGCTCTTCAGACTTCGCCCACTATACATCATCACGCAGGCATTGCTAAGTGGTTCAGATCAGCTGTGGAGCCGGCATCCACAGAAGTCCATAACTGTACGGATCCACAAACCTTGGTGGTCTCTAGAGGTGACTGTTGTTTTATCATGCATAACTAGGCACGCATGTGAGGTAGGTGTTAAATGGATGTAGACCTTGATTGCCATAACTCATTAGCTGTGAGGTCTCAGAAGGGTAGTCATGTTCGTCTGTAACTAAAAAAAACAACATAAAAAACAGCAATGGTCTGGTAGCACCTTAGAGACTAACAAAAATACATAAATAGTATCCTGAGCTTTTGTGGATACTGAGCAACCCACTTCTTCAGATGACAAATATGGAACAAGGGCCCCAGATTTTGAAATATAAAACAGAGAAAGAGGGGGCAAGGATAGGAGAAAGAAAGAATTAAAGTGTCCATGCTAAATGAGGCTAATAGATTTGTCTGGAAGTGCTTGATAACTAGCCTTTGATGTCATTTGGGTGTTGAATATAATGGCCCATCCAGTTCATGTTTTTGTTCAAACCCTGCGAGATCCTATCAGATTTGCATATGAATGCTAGTTCTACAAAATCTCTTTCTGAAATGTTGTAACAAAATAGCCACCTTTAAATCCATTCATGAGAGTTGTGGCAAGTTAAAATGTTCCCCTACAGGTTTTTATATGTGATTTGTGTCCATTAATCCTATGTCGTAGAGGCTGTCCAGTTAGGCCAATATCCATGGCAGAGGGCCATTGCTGGCACTTGATGTCATAGACCACATCTGAGGATGGCAGTTAGATGAGCCTCTGATGTGGTGGTTGATGCGGTTAGATCCTGCGAGGGTGTTGCCTGTATCGATGTGTAGGCAGAGTTGGCAACGGGCTTTATTGTGGGGGCAGGTTCCTGAGTGAGTGTATCTGAGGTGTGAGGTACAGCTTCCGGAAAGAATTTGCTTCGGGTTAGGGGGCTGTCTGTAGGGCAGAATTGGCCTGTCCCCCAAGGCCTGTGATAGTGAGGGATCGTTTTCCAGGATAGGTTGTAGATTGCCAACGATGCACCGGAGGAGTTTAAGCTGGCGCCTGTAGGTGATGACCAGTGGTGTTCTGTTGTTTTCTTTGCTGGGCCTGTCTTGAAGAAGCGAATGCCTGGGCACTCATCTGGGTCTGTCAGTCTGTTTTTCTACTTCCCTGGGGGGGGGGAGGTAGTCAATTTTTAAGTATGCCTGGTAGAGATCCTATAGCTGTTTGTCTCTGTCAGTGGGGTTGGAGCAAGTCTGGTGGTATCTGGCTGTAAATAATGGATCGGGTGATGTGTCCTGGATGAAAACTGGAGGCATGTAGCACATTAGTTGTGGTTACCAAGAACAGTTTTACTTTCACAATTCTAGGAATATAGGTACAAGAAAAAGCTGCTTTGACTCAGTCATTTAGCATACTTCTGTGCAGCTTCCACAGAGAGCTATATCACATGGAAAAAACTTGCAAATAATATATTTGTGGTTCAGAGTGAAACTACTGGAACTGACTTTGTGTTGGTTCTTGCATTGATGTGCTGTTGCTTAATAGTGTCTTTTACTTCTTAGCAAAAGATCCAGTAGCGTTTGACTCCCATTTGTGAAAACGTAATAGCTCTGTTATTCTTGCTCTTTCTGAATAATCATTTCAATATTTATACTGGGTCTACTGCAAAACCAGAATGCATAATCCTCGTTTGCATAAAGAAGGCTGTAACTCAGAAGGTGGGCAATCATTTTTGAAGTGGTTGCGGGCTGCCTGGAAGGGACGGGGCTGTGAACAGAAGGGGTGGAGCCTTTAAATAGCAGGAGTTGAAAGGGCCTGCGTCTTCCCTGCGGCTCCCAGGTATCACGTTATCCGGGGACGGGAGTTGCGAGCCCTTTCAACTCCTGCCATTTAAAGGCCTCGCTGCTCCCGGCCTCACTGTGAGCATGTTTCCTGGGAGCCAGGGACACACGAGCCCTTTCAATGGCTTCTATTTAAAGGGCTCGCCTGACAGGCGTGTTGCGTGTTGCCTGACAGGCGCATGGAAGGCGACAGCCCTTTACATAGAAGCAGTTGAAAGGGCTCGCGTGGCTCCGTCTCCTAGGCAACACGCTGGGGGCGGGGCTTGGAACAGCCGCGCATGCCGGCTCAAAGCCCTAGGTGGGCCGGAATGTCTCCAATGTAAACTTGGGTGACCGGTTCATGGTGTGTTTACAAGGATGGATTTTGAGCTCTGTTATGCTGGTATAAATCCAGAGTAATTCCATTGAGGCTGGCCGAGTATAAAACAGGCCCGAGTCAAGATGTGGACCCTTTATGCTTTATCATAGAGCTGTGGTTAAGGAAGGATTTTCCTTATGGGTCAGAAACACAACCTTAATAGTTGTACACTGAAGTTGAAGATGCTTACGCATGACTGGGATTTTTGATCCTATTCTCTTCAAAATATTGGGCTGGGAACTCTGGGGGAGTTCACTGGCGGAACACCATTAAAGTCCGTGAGCACTTTGCTGTACCTATGGGCTGAGGAGAACGTAGCTCGTGATGTCAGGGGCCCAGCCCTCAGAAAGAAAAGTCTTCCACCTGAGGTGAGCCGACTCTGTGAGTTTTAAGCAATAGCAGAGTGGGATCAAGGTGCAAGTTTCGGATTAGACTTTCTGATGCGTTTTAAAATAGTGTTCGGAAAACCAGAAGTCCTGAAGGGGCCACCGGCTCAGGTACGGCCATCTGCTCATCTCCGGTTTTCGGATGAAGCCTTCGGGGCCCTTTCAGAATTGCTGAAGGTGATCTCTGCTCCATCCATAGAGGACCGTGTGATTTAAAGTCCTGAGACTTTGTTGGGCATGTTCAGGGGAGCTAACGGCTTCCACGTGCCCTTTGGCAAGGTGTGTGTGTGTGTGTGTGTGTGTGTGTGTGTGTGTGTGTGTGTTGGGAAGAGGAGCTGTTTCGGCACTTCCCGAAGAGGAGGGGCTTTGGGCAGAGCCAGGGACAGCCAGCCCTTTGAACTGCATGGAGCATGGCATGCCCCCCCATGCCATGCCCTCAGAGCTGCTGGGCAACACTGGGCCCCGGGGCAACTTCCCCTTTGCTCCCCCTTCCCGTGTTGGCAGGTCTGGGCACATTATATCTCAATAACAGGGAACCTTCTGTATATATGTGTTAGAGAGGAAAGGCAGGGCTGGTCCTACCCAATTGGCAGCCCCGGGCAAATTTCTTTTTGCGGTCCTTACAACAATATGCCGTGTTAGCCCGAATATTCGAAAAATGTTCTTTGGTCCTTCAGTTTGCATATATGGTAATGAAATATTTTAAAGAAGCATTTTCAAATTATTTGTATAGATATATTAATGATTAAAGGCAGTTAAGGTTTGGTCTTGCCCTGCGCGACAAAATTCCTTGCTAGGGCATTGCATCTCACTTTCGTTTAAAAGAATTAGAGACTTCTCCTACACCTTTCCGACTGTCGGATGGGGTGCACTGCTGATATCACGTCTGAAGAATGAGAACTTATCTAGTGTGGTTGATTTGCTCTTTGAAGAAAGGCGATGAAAAATTGCCGCAGTGATTTTTATGCATTAATAGGGTTCCTACCTTCCAGCCGCGCCTGCTGCCTTGAACCCTGGGCCCAACTGGGAAATACAGACACTAGGGGGAGCTGTCCGAAGACACGAATCTCTCCTGGGGGTGTCTGGTGCGGAGGGAGCCCAAATGCGGAGAGCCAGAGGTGGGTTCCCGGCACCAGAGAGTGAGAAGCAGCCTTAGTTGCAAGGCAGAACGCTGGGTTGTGTGGGCGGGGCAGTTTTGCTGCAGAGAAAACATGAAAAATATCTCGCCAAAGCTCATGCAATTTTTCCGTTATATAGACAATTCATTGTGTTACATTTTGGCGGCCCCTTGAATATGGCGGCCCTGGGTGACTGCCCGGCTTGCCCGCCCCTAAGACCAGCTCTGGGGAAAGGTGCTATCGTTTGTTCTAACCAAATCAGCTTGATGTTGCAGACGTCTGAGGTGACTTGTCAGGCCCACGCTGAGAAACGTTTTGATTGTTTGAATCAGAATTTGTCTATACAAGAACGGCGCAACCTCAACTATTACAAAATAAATAAAACGAAAAGCAAATGTTGATCTCCATAGAAGCTCTGGAGACTAGGCTTTGAAACAAGCAGCGTAGGAGCACATTTTGCACACATTTGCTAAACTGTAAAGATTTTGGGAAGTTGAGATTGTTCTGGATTGTAGTAGTCTGGTAATATGACTTTTCCTCCTACCGACAATCAGCTGCTACAAAAATCCTCAGCATGCTGTTTATTCTCTTGTATTCCTCCCCCCGCTCTCTCAAAAATAGTGACTGCAGCATTGCTCTGTGAATTACTATTTAGAAGGGGCATGGCCAATTTGAAATGGGAATAGATAAAAATACAGCAGGCATCATTGCTGTTCTCAGGTTTGCCTGCCAGTTCCAATGCTTTTGTAATCATGTTTTCCCCTGTTTTAAAAAATATTTCTCTCATGCTTGTGAAAACCCCCCCATTAAAGGTGAAATGTTGACAGACTTAGTTACAGAGGGAATACAGCAAAGCTAAATAGCCACAAAATATGCATGGGGTAGAAATAGAAATAAAAATCCCCATTCTCTTGTTTTTCCTTTCAAATTGCTTTCAGTTCCAGTCGCATAGTTAATGATAGTTGGTAACATTTCCATTCGGAAGTGTGATTTGATTGTTTTTAACGTTGTGCTGCCCCTTTAACAGTTTTAATTGTATGGTAACTTCAGTTGCAGCTGCATGTAAAGTGTGTTCAGAGAGAGTTGAGGATCGCCAGGTTAAATCAGTACTTTAATAGGATTTTTATATTCTACTTCTCGTATGCTTAAAATTCCTTGACAGGTAATTAACAGCAACCCATTTCTTTTTATTTCCTATGTGTGGTGGCACTTCAGGATGGGAATCTCAGCTTCTGGAAACGGGGTTTTTAGGAATATTCCTGTGCCCACTTTGGACTCTCTCCCGATTACCTAAGTACACTCCGCCTTCACGAATTGTGATCTGGGGATTTCGATGGCTCATTTTCAGAATCATGCTTGGAGCGGTAAGTGGAACTCTTTAGCACTTCTGCATCTGTAGACTTTAGAGATCATAGTAGCAAAAGAAGATTATCTCTCTAAATTTTTATTACAGAAGCTAATTCCAAATGTTTAATCCTGGCCGAAAAGTCATTTATGTCCTTCAAGCAGTATAACATTTTTATGTGCTGTAGTTTAGGATGGTCTCTGGTTATAACCAAGGAGAATGCAGGAGGAAATAGTTGGTGTTCTGTTTCATTGAATCTTTCAGCTTGTTATCGGTGTCTGCCTTTAACGAGATCAACAGATACAGGACAAGGAATGTGTTTTAACATTTTAACACTGCTATTACAGTTTTAATGGGAGGAGGAAGGAAATCATTAGCTTAGAAAGCTGGTCCCTTAAAAATATTTTGTAAAGTGATTTTGAAAGGACTGAAACATGATTTTCAGCATGTTGGGTGAGAATTCCAGTGTGAAATCTCTAACCCAGAGCTCTACCCCTGCTACTCTGCATACGTTATTGCAATGTCACTCTTGAGGCCTGACGCTGTAGAATCATAGAATCATAGAATAATAGGACTGGAAGGGACCTCGAGAGGTCATCGAGTCCAGCCCCCCGCCCTCAAGGCAGGATCAAGCTCCGTCTACACCATCCCTGACAGATGTCTATCTAACCTGTTCTTAAATATCTCCAGAGAGGGAGATTCCACCACCTCCCTTGGCAATTTATTCCAATATTTGACCACCCTGACAGTTAGGAATTTTTTCCTAATGTCCAATCTAAACTTCCCCTGCTGCACTTTAAGCCCATTACTCCTTGTCCTGTCCTCAGAAACCAAGAGGAACAAATTTTCGCCTTCCTCCTTGTGACACCCTTTTAGATATTTGAAAACTGCTATCATGTCCCCCCTTAATCTTCTTTTTTCCAAACTAAACAAGCCCAGTTCATGAAGCCTGGCTTCATAGGTCATGTTCTCTAAACCTTTAATCATTCTTGTCGCTCTTCTCTGTACCCTTTCCAATTTCTCCACATCTTTCTTGAAATGTGGCGCCCAGAACTGGACACAGTACTCCAGCTGAGGCCTAACTAGTGCAGAGGAGAGCGGCAGAATGACTTCCCGAGTTTTGCTTACAACACACCTGTTGATACCACCTAGAATCATATTTGCTTTTTTTGCAACAGCAGCACACTGTTGACTCATATTCAACTTGTGGTCCACTATGACCCCTAGATCCCTTTCCGCCATGCTCCTTCCTAGACAGTCGCTTCCCATCTTGTATGTATGGAACTGATTGTTCCTTCCTAAGTGGAGCACTTTGCATTTCTCTTTATTAAACCTCATCCTGTTTACCTCTGACCATTTCTCTAACTTGCTAAGGTCATTTTGAATTATGTCCCTATCCTCCAAAGAAGTCTCAACCCCCCCCAGTTTGGTATCATCTGCAAACTTAATAAGAGTACTCTCTATCCCAATATCTACATCATTGATGAAGATATTGAACAGTACGGGTCCCAAAACAGACCCTTGAGGAAGTCCACTTGTTATCCCTTTCCAGCAGGATTTAGCACCGTTAACAACAACTCTCTGACTACGGTTATCCAGCCAATTATGCACCCACCTTATCGTGGCCCTACCTAAGTTATATTCGCCTAGTTTATCAATAAGAATATCATGCGAGACCGTATCAAATGCCTTACTAAAGTCTAGGTATATGACATCCACCGCTTCTCCCTTATCCACAAGGCTCGTTATCTTATCAAAGAAAGATGTAGCATTTGCTGCCCCACCATCAGCGCCAACCAGACATGCCCATGGGTCTTGAAAGCAAAGAACCCGTAGGCACCTGACGTTTCTTTTATTCAAATTAAAGATGGAGCCTGCTTACAACATTTGGAGTCAAAACGGAATTTTGGACACTCTACGGTTCTGAGCTCGGAGGCTAGGCAGGGTTCCCATTTGTGTCCAGCTTCTGAAAAGCTCTCATGCTCTACAGTTCAAGGGAGCCTAGAACTGATACCAGAATGGATCATAGAATCATAGAATACTAGAGCTGGAAGGGACCTTGCGAGATCATCAAGTCCAGTCCCCTGCCCTCACAGCAGGATCAAGCACCGTCTATATAATCCCTGATAGATGTCTGTCTAACCTGCTCTTAAAATCTTCAGAGAGGTAGCTGAGTTAGTCTGTAACACGAAAAACTTAAACAACAAGTAGTCTAGAAGCACCTTAAAGACTAAAAAAACATGTAGATGGTGTCATGAGCTTTCATAGGAACAACCCACTTCTTCAGATGAATGGCGTATTAGAAGCAGAGGACTGGACTTGATCTCTCGAGGTTCCTTCCAGTTCTAGTGTTCTAGGATTCTATAATCCTAAGTCCAGATCCAAGAATATATAAGGGAAGGAAGAGGGTAGGGGAAAAAAAAAGAGAGAGACAGGGAGCAGGTGGTTCAGGTAGTTACAAGAGGCTGATGAGAACAATTAGCACCTCCATTATTTGGTTCCTTGGTTAAGTCATTATGATGTGGAAGGTAGTGTATGAGCCAGCTGATGTCCCTGTTCATACTATTAGCATAAGAATTAAACTTGTAAATAAAGTTAAGTTCCAGCCCTTCCCTGTGTATTTGGCTTGTGGAATTGGCCTGAAACAACTGCTCTTAAAATGGCTGTTTAACCTGCTCTTCAAATGTAACTTCATATGTAGGCAATATGAAGTTAAGATTTTCACCCCGGACTTAAAAACCTGACACCAACTATAAAGACAATGAATATTCCTGTGGAACCTTAGAGACTAACAAATATACATATATATAGCATCAGTAGCTTTTGTGGGCAAAACCTGCTTCTTCAGATGAAGTGATCTTGAGATGATCTTGAAACTTGACAGACATATGCTTGTTTCAGGACTGATACCTTGCAAGGAGTGCAACAGTAGTAGCAGTGAGTTTTGCAGGTGTTGTTTTGTGTTGGGAAATACATACTGGATATTTGTTGCATCCAAATGAGACTTCCCAGTTCATATCAAGTCAGCCCCATTGTGGGAAGCCTTATTCACATGTGATGACTTTCAATCATGGATTTAAAAATAGCCGTTCTTCTACAAGGGAATTCTATGACCCCAGTGTAGAGGGAGACAGCTGAACTGGAGTTCATTTACAACAGGCATGTCCAAAGTCCGACCCGCGGGCCAATTGCGGCCCATGTTCCGGTTTAATACGGCCCCCCAGGTAATTTGGCAATATCTATCTTTTATGGCCCCCAACGAATCCATATGTATTGAGATGAATACATTGTAAAATCTCAGTTAATGTCAGTTGGTCTAAATCAGTTATAAATATATTTGGACACAACATGCATACTTGGTGTTATGTTCCTGTTCATATTTTTTGAACTTAAAAGTTGACAGACAACCTTTATTACCAATAATATGTAATGTACTTTACAATGTTCCTGACATATATTTCAGCTTCCTGGATTTTTTTTTCATCTGGCCTTCAGATATGAAAGGCAGAGTGATTTAACACCTGTTTAGATTTGTCATCCATGTGACGAAATGAAAAGTATGCCGTTTGCAATAAACTTTGCATAAAATAGTTAATTTGCATTTAATTTTAATGGTTCAAAGAATGTAAGGCAAAATGGTCGGCCCTCACGCATGTTCACTTCATCAAATCTGGCCCTCTTTGAAAAAAGTTTGGACACCCCTGATTTACAAGTTCAACACTAGCAACTTGGGCTTGAATAAAGATATTAACTGGTTAACCAACTTCAAAGGCAATTTCCTTGCCTTGAATAGTCACATTTACACATTAAAATCTATGAATGGAACACATCCAGCCTGACTCAATTAGCCTCATTAGCACTGGTCCTACAATTGACAGGTCACTGCTTTTGCTGTTATATATACTGTGGATTTTGTAATTTCCACTCCAACCCATCTGATGAAGTGGGTTTTACCCACAAAAGCTCATGATGTAATACAGGATTGCTTGTTGTTTTTAAAATTATAGACTAACACATGGAAACCCCTCTGAGACTTTTTATTCTAGCAAGTTAGCCTACTGACTTTAATGTAATTGCATCTCAAGGGGTGGACTGCTCAATTGAATAAGGGTTTATAGAATTGAGTCATGTTAGTCATGCCTTTCAAGTACCTTGAGAACTCTGAAATATGCTATATAAATGTAAATGATGCCATTATTCACTATTAGGCTTTGAACATACCAGATAACCTCCATTTTGAGAAATCAATCTTTAAATATAGTTGTGTATAAATAAATTGGATGGATGGATAAGCATGGATGTTGGCACCAAGAGCAACCTCAACGCAGCTTTAAAGACGACCTTATCTCAAAGTTAAGGCTGTTTGATTTATGTGTAATCTCAACTATTCTTTAAAGGATGGAAATTTGGGCTCTTAAGAGAGCTGGCTTTTGCAGACTAAAAAGCTTTGAAGTCTTATTTGGCAGCGTCTCCTATCAGATGGGAAAGACAAAGCGAATGTCAAGATCTCTGCTTAGCTGAACAAAGATTCAGTACATTCCTAACAAAGGAGATATTCTGACTTGGGCGTACCTAGGTGGAAAGATGAAAACAAGACTGCAGTCTCGCAGAGTGGGTTCTGTGGAGTCTTCCCACTAGTGACAAATGGGAGAAACGCTATCACAAAAATGACTGGAGTGACTATTAACAAGAGTGCAGATGGATAAGGGAGAGAATGGGAACGGACTGAAACAAAGTGGTTTTCCTTCTCTCTGTCGAAAATTGGCGTTAACAATGATGTCTGAAATCCAAGCGGAAGTTAGCGCACTGTCTCCCAGGTTGCGGGAGGGGGAAAGGGAGAAGAGGCATCTATGAGCTACCTACCATCAATCCAGAATGTGGAATTAACAGCTCTGCTGGAATGTCAGCATCCTGGAGCAAAGCGAGGCAGTCAGAGCCGCAGGCGGGGTACTGCTGCAGCCCCCCCAGGGCACAGAGGCCCCGTCTAGTCATGTCAGATCTAGGTGGAAATGCTGCTTT